GAGCTCTGCAGACTGTGTGCAATGCTGTGCTGAACTGAAATCTAGACCGCCTTCCTCTCCTGGCACTGGCGTGTTCCCCACCAGCTAGGCACTTCCGTCCCTGAACCTCCTCCCTTCCTGCTGGATGTCCTCTGTCCTCCATCCTTGCAGAGTCTCTCTGCCTCCTTGGCCTGCTTCTCCTCTCACCTCCCTTGGTTCTCTGCCTCCCTCTGAATGTCATTTAGGTGCTGTAGTCCTCAGTCACCCATCCACCTTTCACCCTCTCAAGTCTCACCTAGTACCTTGGTGATCTCATTTCTGTGTAGCTTCTCTCTTAGTTACTTTTCCTGTTGTTGTGACAAAATACTCTGACAAAAGCAATTCAAGAGAGAAAGGATTTATTTTGGCCCATAGTTCAAGGGTACAGTGCATAATGGGGAGTCAAGACAGCAGGAGCTTGATGTGGCTCGTCACATGGCTCCTAGGCCAGTCTAGAATCTGTCAAGTTGAGAATCAGTGTTAACACCATAGCTTTTGACTACATCTCTGCAACGATGGCCTCCAGGATTCCATTCCAGTTCTAGCCCCTTTGATTTTACATGCAGCTCTCATTTCCCAGGCTATAGCATGCATGGAGGTCTACAGAAAGCTCCAATGAAAATATGCAAAGTAGAACCTGACTTCACTCCCCACTTCTGTAGTTTAGATACTGAATGTTCCCCAAAAGTCCATGTGTTAAAAGTTTGGACCCCAGAGTGATGCTGTTGGGAGGTACTTGTGGTGGTTTTAATGAGAAATGTCTCTCATAGGCTCTTTGAAAACTTGGTTCCAATTCAAGAGCAGAACCCCTAATTCCTTAGGCTCAAGCCCCATCTTTCCAAGTCTAACTCACAGGCAGCCCAAACATGCCTACATTCAACTTCAGAGCTGATCTTAAACCCCATCATCTTAGTCACCGTGCTTTCTCCCTCCCTGGTCCCAGCTAATACTATCGCTGTTCAATCAATCTCCTAGCCGTCTTTTTTTCCCCATGGTCAAATCCCCACCCAACAACCAAAATCCAATTTCTACATGAAACTACACTGGGTTGCTCTGTTGCTTAGAACCTCAGGAATCCATCTGCTGGATGGCAGTGGGGCTGAAGGAAATGAAGCCATTCACAGTCACAAGTCTCTCCTAAGCCACCCTCTCCAGACAAACTTCCTGTGATGAGTTTTCCACGACATCAAGGGTCTCCTCACAGCTCTTTCTGCCATCCTGATTTGCATGCATTAGTGTGATCCTTTGATTAATATTTGCCTTTCCTATTGAACTAAAAGTTCCAGGTAAGACTGTTGCTATGGTAACTCCAGACACAGTCCTGGATGGAACACATGCCCAGAGTTCTATATCAATGACTTAAAAACTGATAGATAATCTCCTCCACTCCTGCCCAAGAGAACACCTATGAAGTGTTGCCATCCTGTATGGCCCAAGGTCTATACAATGTCAGCAGGCTTTGGCTGGAGGCAGAGAGCCAATAAGGATGCCAGTGAACCCCATGGCCACATAGAGAGATCTGCCCCAGGAATGCGAGCCAGCCACATCTGACAATATCTTTGGGTGAACACCATGCTTCAAAGAAGAGAGAAATCAGAGAGGATGGAGAAACTGAGGTAGGCAAAGAGTTAATCAGGAGCAGACCAAGGACAAGAGTGCCTTCCTGAGGGTGGAAAATTCAAAATGGTTTATTATCACAACACCACAAGAAGGCTCCCTACCACTCCCTCCAGCTTTGCTGTATCTTCTGAGGGCTCTGTTTCACCTCCACCCTCCACCTCAGCACCAGATAATGACTTCAAAGCTTTGTCCCCATGTGATCAACTCTACACCTCTCTTTTGAGCTTCCCCCCTCTCCAATCCGATCTTTCATAGCTGCTTGTTAGCAGTCCTGCTCTTGTGTCAGTAGCACCTCTGTGCCACACACTGTCCTTCCTAAAACTTCTAATGACTATCTTTTGCAAACCCATCACACAGTGCAATCCCTCTGTCATCTTCCACTGAAGTCTAAACCCACCTTGCAGGACTATAGGCATTCTTAAGCCTTTCCCTCCCTTAACCCTAGGCTTCATGTGACCTCTGCCTTCACTGATTCCTTGGCAATGTTTGATCTAAATTCATCCTAACCTCTCTCCTTTGGATCACCAGCTATTGAAGGGAAAAACAAAAACATGCCTTATATGATATAGTGGCTGATTACTAGACCCAATGGAAAATATCACCATCATCAAGGTCAGCCTAGAGCTGTTGCCCATTCCTTCTCCATACATAGTAGAAAAGCCATGTTCCTCCTGTTGGAATTGATGATTTCTTCTGAAACTGGAGCCCACCGGGCAAGACAGAATCTTACCTTAACATAAGGCAGCAGCCAAAGAAATCTAAAAATGGCATCTGTGCCTGTTAGTGAGACACTGAACTGTTACAAAGTTCAGTGGGAATCAGACTGGGTTCAAAAGAAGGGCTTGTGGTACTAGGTAAATGTACCTGTGGCTGGATAATGAATGGCCTCCCAAACACACGCACATCCTAATCCCTAGAAACTATGAGTGATCCTTATGAAGGAGTCTGAACATTTGCTTAATTAAATTCAAGGTTTGGAGAAGGGGAAAGAACCCTGAATTATCCAAGTAGGGTGTGTCATTGCAAAGGTCCTTATAAAAGAGAGGCAGAGCTCAGAATGGGCTGCTAGAGACTGGAAGAAGCAAGAGGCAGGGGTGATGCAAGGAAAGAATCACCAGCCGAGAAATGCAGGCATCCCTGGAGACGGAAAGGCAGGGATGCCTTTTTCCTTCATTCTTTCTTCCTTTCCTCTTACCTTTTAAAAATTGGTCTTTCTTCCTTCCCTTTTCCCTTCCTTCCTTCTTTCTTGCATGTATGTACATGTGTGTTCATGTATGTGCAGGTATGCATATATGTGCTAGTATGTGAGCATGTGTGCATTTGTGTGAAGGCCAGAGAACAATCTTAGGTGTCTTTCCTTGGGTGCCATCTACGTTGCTTTTTTCTGAGACAGGGTGTTCCCCTGGAGCTCACCAGCTAGGCTAGGTGTATTGGCCTGTGAGCCCCAAAGATCTGCTCATCTCTACCTCTCCAGTACTGGGATGACAAGTGTGTCCACCAAGCCTAGACTTTTTCCCATGGATTTTGTGGGCTGAACCCAGATCTTCATGCTTGCGAGGCAAACACTTTAGTGACAAAGGTAGCATGCCAGCAGCCCCCCCACACCTTCTGTCTAGGCAGATTTTCACATAACCAAATGAGACAGTCTTGACCAACTGATTCTGCTGAGTAACTTGTCACCTTAAGAAGGATAAGAATCAGTCAAATCAGCTTGGTTTTCTGAACTGACTTTTGTTTCCAATTTGACTTATCTCAAACCCTAGTAGTTACTATCCAAGATTCACAAGCCAGAGCCCAGATCCTGGGATTTATTACCACTTTAAGACATAAAAGTTGTCCCAAAACACAAGTCCATTACGTTTTTAAGTCTTGGGATTTTTTTTCAGGAAGGCTGTACATAAAGAGTCTTGTTAAATACAAAGAAATGCAAAACTTGAGGCAAAGTTGACAGGCATAGCTTTGTGTCCCAAAGGGAATAAAGGCTAGAAAGAAAAAGCACTAAGGACTCCATGCATCTTCTCTGTCCTGTTTATTTTTTTCTTATCTGTAAACACAAAATGTGCACAGTGCCTTCACCCCACCACACCAGAATGGCCCTGTGATGATCCATAGCCTGCTAGGGCAAAGGAGACCTCCAGTCTGAGTCTGTCCCCAGTGGAGAATGTCCAAACATGAACTTTAATCAAGGCCACATTCAGAGAAGGGTCCGTGAGGGATAACTCACAATGCTTTAACACAGTTTGTAAAACAAATCTTCAGCACATTACTTTTCAGTCACGTTTCCAGCTATAATTGGTTGGTACAAGGAGCAAACAAGTGGGCAGTCCTCCAGAGCACCGGCATTGGCACGCCACTAACAGTAAAGAGCACTAAGACATTCCAGCGTGCTTTCATTCTGAAAATGCATTGATAGGAAATTTCTCTCTAAGAATGCTGCCGACTTGCTGGTTGCTGTTTTATTTTTTTTCCCCTTATGAGTTAAAAATATTCAGCTTCAGATAATTGAGTTCATGTAAATAAAGGTCATTATTATTATTATTATTATTTTATCCAAAGAATATCCCACAGGCCTAGTAGAAGGAATGCCTTTATTCAGAATTGTCAGAGTGACTTTAGCCTGGAGTGTCCTTGGCTTAGTTTAGCTGACCCTCCTGGGTCTCCTTCCCTGTCCCCAGGCATGCATTCATCCTTGGGCATACTCCCCTGCATGACTGGGGTACAAGAAGAAGCCAAAAGAAATGCATGAGAAAGTTCTACCACCACTCCATCCTGAAGATGGCAGGATCCCAAGACCAGGCCTTGATATACCCCTTCTCTACTTTACTTCCAAAATACTGGCCTCATCGTCAGCCTCACCCAGCAGCAGAAGTTTCTACAGCAAAAGAGTTACTTCCTTGACTTATTCTGCACTAATGGAGGCAAACCTCAGAAACTCACTGGCAGGCTTCTGAGCAACATCCTTGAGGCCTTTGGGCTAGGGCTCCAAGGTGGACTCCTTTCCAGTTGTGAGTGCAGCGGGAGCAGCCGTTGCACAGCCTCCTGCTCTTGGCAGGCCAGGCAAGGCAGGCAGTAAGGTCAACACTCAAGGCCTTTTGTGCCTGTGCTCTGGGACACCACCAGCCAGGCACCTCCCTGCTCTCCTGTCCACCCGTGTGGGAAACCTGGACTCCGAGTACTCCAGGGCATGTCCTCTGGAAGCCAAGGGTCTTTTGGCACTAGCTGGGCACCAGCAGGCAGCGTGCTGAGTTTGGTTGTGTTACAACTTTATAATTTCTGTTTTTAACTCTACCAAACACTTCACCCTCTTATCCTGCACTGAAAGCAGACCCCCATCTCGGGGACTGAGCCTGAGACAAGTCAAGTCAGGGCACTGTCCGTTCCCAGAGTCTTTCTCGAATCAGCCATTGCCCTTTGGGATTCTCTGTCTCATAGTAATCCTCCTCTGGAGTCACCAGGGGCTTCTGTGCAAAGAGCTCTGTATCCCACTCCATGTCTTCACTGGAGAAGTTGAGGAGGATCTGTCTGGAGCTCCCCAGTCTGAAAGGAGGGATGAGGGAAAGGTTTAAGTTCCAGTTGGCCACCAGTGGAAGGAAGGGATGACCAAATTACCAACATTCCTGTGGAGACAATCAGATTGTTCCCCCAGTACTGGGCCTTGGGGAGGATCACATAGTGATATCAGGGTGGTATGTGGAAAGACTGCAGGTGGACCTGGCCTGGCCTTGAAGGTCAAGATGAGGGCTGGGACACAGATTTACTGTCAAACACATCACTTATGATTGTGAGAGGAAAACACTAGTGAGAAAACCCTGACTCCATCAGAGTTGAGTGACTTGAGAAGCAGCAAGGGGACAGCTGCGGAGTCTCAACAGTGTCATGGGAGACACCCCTGAGACACAACTGGAGTGGGTACCCTGCAGGAGTAGGCAACAGCAATGTGGGACCTGGTCATGGTAATTCATCTTGGAAGAGGAGGCTCTGGGGAAGAGGATACAGGAAGTAGTAGCAGTGGTCCCCATGGGGGCCAGGCCAACAGGAAGTACTGGGCAGAGCCAGGCCTAGCCAGTGCCTGCAAGGTAACAGCATCTCAGTGTAACACTGTTTCCTGTTTGGTGTTCTGCTGTCTCCAACAGTGAAGTCTCATTAGAGATCTGTGCACACCAGTGTTCTATGATGTTCTGGGGGGGTGGTATAAGCAGTGGGCTAGGGAGAAAGGGGGCAGATGCAGAACCAAAGTTCTGAGCAGGAGGACAGCGGTGAGCCCAGCTTGAGTACAAACTGTGAGAAAACAAATCTCAACCAAGCCCTCTGCTCCCTACTGCCCAATAAAGTCAGCAATTTCTGCAGGTGGGATAAGAACTCAGTGCACCTTCAGAAGTACCCAAGAGCCCAAAGCCCAGGAGACCATTTGGGTTATGTTACTTAGCCCAAAACACTTACTCTTTTTTGCAGGCTTTGGGCTTAAATTTCAGGGTGTTGAATGCCCCCTCCACAGCCTTAGGCAGGTAAATGGGATGTCTCTCAAGCCGCCGCTGGGTGCCTATAGCCCTGTGCTCTGTGCTCCTTCGAAACTGGCTATCTGCAGTGCTATGTGCAGCGAAAGCCTCTGAATGTCTGCGTGGTGCCCGCAGAATCCAGTTAGAATGCAGGCTGTGCTCCCGAGAGCTGGTGGCCACTGGAAGACAGAAGCAGGTGACCTGATCAGATGACTTGCTGAGAGGCCGGGAGAGCAAAGGACAGTGTGAACTAGCTGAGAATCCACAGCAAAGGAAGAGGTAACCAGGTCTACCACAGCAAATTCTTAGGGAAGCTGGAGTGACTAAGGGAAAGGTCTGGCACAGCAGTTATGGGGCAGAGACAAAACTGAGGTCTATATTATTAATCTGGAAATATGTTCACTATATACTGAATATTATTAAAAGATGTTTTTGTTAAAAGTAAATAAAAATTGAGTATGTTGAAAATACTCTGGAAAAGTCTTATACCCAAATGTTAACAATGAGAGTATCTACATATTGTATTTTTTTTAAGTTTTCTTCTTAATACTTCAATGTTTGGTTAAGTTGATTTACAATAAACATAAATCACTGTTGCTATCAGAAAAAAAGAACCTTTCATTTAAAAAAAGTTATTGTACCACAGCATGTATTTGGAAGTCAGAAGACAACTTTCAAGAGTCTGTTCTCTACGGAGATTAATTCAGGCTTGTCGGGCTTGCCTGGCAAACACTTTTACCCACTTAGCCAAGACTTGTCAAGTCTTGTTGACACTTTTTTTTTCTTTTGAGTCAAGATCTCATGTAACCTAGAATGGTTTCAAACTTTATATTTAGCCACAATGTTGTTGAACTTATGATCCTCCTGCCTCCTCCTCCCAAATCCTGAGATATAGGCATGTATCACCACACCTGGTTTATAGGATACTGTTATGGAACACAGAGTTTAGGGTATGCTAGGCAAGTTCTCTACCAACTCCATCCCTCTAAAAGTGGTCCTTTCATGACAACAGCTGTTTTCATTATAACTGGGAAGATGACCCTGTATCCTTCAGGATTCTGCCATCCTTCCCCCAGTGTCTTGGGTTTCCTGGACTACTGAGGGAGAGTAGGGGAGGAGCAACATCAGAGCAGAGAGTGCTCAAGCCACATGCAAGGCAGAATGAACATGGGGTGGGTGTAACCTGCAAAGCCACAGAACCGATGTGGAAACCCAGAGTTTATCAGAGTCAGAGAAACCATAAAACCACAAGCCTGTCATGTGGTGAGCATTAGATAACACTCAAGAATTGACTAATAACAACACCAATAGCCGTTGTCTTAGTAGCCAAGATCTAGTAACTAAATAAAATCATTGCTGGGTTGCACAGTCTATGCAAGTCAAACATTAAAGAGATGAACAGTTATGAAATATAAAAGAGGACTCAACTCATAGAAGTGTTGGAATGTTTGCTGTTTTCCAGGGCAGTTTGGTTGAACGCCTTGATTAAGGCCAGAAGTGAGATTCTACCCTACCCTCCATTCCTCCCTCTCCAGGGGTCTGGCTGGGGCCTGGGTAGGCACCCCCTCATGTCTCCTGCCTGCCTGAGCTCTATTTTAGGTAGTTTAGAAAATCTTAGAGATGAATTTTCAAACATAACTTGTCCATTTCTTTCCTTTTCAGAAATGTGTCGATATATCAGGCATATGCTTCCTTTTTGGTTTGTGAGATTTTAGTTTGTTTCATGCATGTGGAGGACACAGGTTGATGCTCAGGGTCTTCCTCAGATGTTCTCTATCTTATTTTTTGAGACAGGTTCTCTCAGTAATCAGGAGTTCACTGATTCAGTTGGGCTGGCTGGCCAGCAAGCCCCAAAAATCCTCCTGTCTCTGCCTCCTGAGCACTGGGATTACAGGTGCACACCATCACACTTGGCTTTTTACACCGGTGCTGGGAATTGAAGTCAGATCCTTGCACTTTTGTGGCAAGTATTTTGTAGACTGGGTTATGTTTGGTTTTTGTTTCGTATTTTTTCGAGTCAAAATCACCCTATATAGCCCAGTTTGGCCTCAAACGCTCTCCCTTCCTCAGTCTTCCAAGGGCTGGAATTACAGGTGTGCACTGTCACGCCCAACTCATCACAGCCATTTTTAGGTGTGCCATTTGGTGAGGTTAAGAATGTTCACATTCTAGAATCTTCATCTTGCAAACCAGAAACTTTTTTCCCTGTTAAGCACCACTCCCCAGTGACAGATTCTCTTTCTGTAATAATTTCCCTATTGCTTTCCCCCATGGAAAGTCTTTCCCCCACAGAGTCTCAGGGAAGTTCCACCCTGCCACCTGTGCTTAGTGAACCACAGGGAAGGGGGCAGGCTTTGTTCAAATGTGTCCTAGGTGTTGGAGGTGTAGGCTGGAGCAATGGCAACAGGGCAACTGGCAGAAGAGGTCCCTGAGCCATCAAAGCAAGGAGGCCAGGACCTGACACACATATGAGGGAGCTCCCGTCAACCAGGAGAGTGAGGTCCCACCCATAGCCCCCCTCCCCTCACGGTGTTGGAATGCCCCGAGCACTCACCATCAAAGTCCACATCTTCACTTGGCAAGTCAGCTTCAACAGTTCTTGGCCGTTTTTCTGTCTCTAGCTCTGCAATGATGGAATCAAAGAAAGAGATGGCCTCGGCCACATCGGCACTGAACTGCGAGTATTTCTTTGAGGTTGCTTTCTACAACAGAAGAAAGAAAGGAGAATTGCCTGGGAATTTCTTGAAGTGTCTGCATGTAAAAAAAAACGGAGGCACTGAAAATAATTAATATTGCTAAAACAATGTTTATGGGGTTTGGGCTTTTTGAGTTTTCAGATTTAAGGATTTATCAATGGATGAATGGATAAAAGGGCCTGGAATATTATGTTTCCATAAAGAAGAATGAAATCTTGTCATTTGCTGCAGTACAGAGGGAACTGAAAGCCATTATGTTAAGTGAAATAAAGCACACACAGAAAGACACATATTCTCATTTGTATGAAGAAGGTCTGATGGAAGTAGAGAGTAAAATAGACACAGGGGGATGGCTAATGAGTGCCAGAATACAGTTAGATGGGAAAGTTCTAGTGTCCTACAGCACAGTACAAGTGCTGTAGTGATAATTTATTATTTATTTATAAAGAACTAGAAGAGAGTTGAAGGGCTCCCAACACAAAGAATTAGTGTTTAAGAGACTTGAAATGCTAACTACCTTGATTGGATCATTTCATGTTACATGCACATATCAAATGATCACACTGAACCCCATAAACATGTATAACTATTTTGTGTCAATTAAAGAAATTTAAGGTTATATTTGCTGCAGTGCCTTGTAGAAGGAAAGTAGATGCTCCAGATCCATAGCCACTGCAGATCAACAGATTTCTCATTATCTCAAGGAGGAAACTAAAAATAAGGACAAAACACCTCTTTCTTGGTCAAAATAATTTGCCCTTCTTTGGCCTTGTCCCCTGCCGATAAAACCTAGATTCTTTCTCACATTCCTTGTAACGCATGGAAGCCCGGGTGCCGTAGTGGGCTCCATGAAGAACTCCCAATGAGAGGGGCAAGAAGGACACATGAATTCATAGCACACTGAGGAACAAACAGGAAACAGTCTGTCAACTCAGACTGTTTGATGAAACATGGAGCTCCTTTCTGTGGGTACTTTGAAAGTGGCATTTGGGCATGGTGTTAAAAATGAGTAGGACTGAAAACTATGGACATATGGTATCTTACCTTAATTGAGAGACAAAATGACCTACAGTAACAGTGTGTGAAGGTGCTTTGCAGACAATGATAGACTAGTACCATCCTTTGAAATAGTCTGGAAAAAAATTCATTTTGTACCCTTTTGTATGTTCAGAATGTAGTATTATCAGAAACGCTCAAAATTTCTGTCAGGCATGGTGGTGCATGCCTTTAATCCCAGCACTTGGGAGGCAGAGGCAGGCAGATCTCTGTGAGTTCAAGGCCAGCCTGGTCTGCATAGTGAGTTCCAGGACAGCTGGGGCTACAGGGAGACTCTGTCTCAAAAAGACCAAAAAAAAAAAAAAAAAAAAAAAAAAAAAAAAAAAGCAAATTCTACATATAATGGAAAAAAAAATAGATCTGAACTACAGATTGGCATGCCAGAGGGCCCATGCCAGAGGGCCATGTCACAGACAGATCTCACCCTTAACTTTCCTGGGTCTGTTTTTGTGTTGTTCCTTCCTCCACCTTTAAATGAACCGGATGCTATCACTGACTGATTCCTGTTCATCAACTAAGACTTGTCTGAGACAGACCTTCACCCAGGAAGTCCTCCCTGCTCAAGGGTCAAGTTTTTCTCCTCTAGGTTCCTGGAGTCCTTATTACCTAGTTCAGTTTTACAATGACACATGGCTTTAGAGATTTTTGTTTTTAGAAAGACAAGCCAGAGAGAAACAAAGAATGAAGAACCCACAATCCATACTGTTCCCCAAAGGAAAAACGGCTAATAACTTAATGCCAAGGTCATGGGATCCCTAAGTTCTCATGAAAGTCTCCAAGTCTCTAGCAGATCATTAGTATTAGGGTTAATGCAAAGGCCTCCATCCTGCTGTGTGTGTCACTCGTTCTCATCCAGGTTACCCTGCAATTGATGCAAGTGATTTGGTCCTTCGTGTCTCTGGGAAGTATAATCTGGGCCATAGTTTAAAGCACCCAAGTCCTTTGCTCTCATTTGTTAAGTGGTTTAGAAGAAAGCCAACTTCGGTATCTTAACTAAAAGACAAGACAGAACCGACATCACTGTTATTAGGCTAACACAACACTATCCTGAACTCCTGAAGCTCTGTCCTGCTAGGATAACATACAAATTAAAAAAAAAAAAAAAAAGAAAGAAAAAGAAATCACTACCTTAGCCTCTGGCTCCCTGTTTTTCTGCTAGAGGACCACAGCCTTTAAGTTGCACACTTGTTAGTTATTCCAAATATTTATTCATGTTGTTTATTTCCCAAACTTCAAGTCAAGACCTGCGTCTCTCTCCCATAGCTGGGCATGGCAACAACTGGCAACCCTGCTCACCCACGAACAGATGAGCACCTTGACCAACTTCTGGACCCCACTCCTGGAGCCTCTGCTGGGTCATTCAAACGCTGTCATTATAAACTGAGTCTGTTAGAAGCATGGGGACTTGGTGAGGCTGCAGAGTAAGCCATTGGTGGCACAATGCTGGTATTATTTGTGGCTATCCTGTATGTGCCTGCTGTGACCAAATCCCATTATAGCAGGCTATTTCCTGGTTCCTCCAGGTCCTTCATGAATTAGGTAGGGGCATCCACACAAATGAGTACACAATTCACTTTCATTCTTTACTTAGCCTTACCTTTCTTTCATGTAAATAAGCACCCATCCCTTGACCAACAGCTCATTGCCAGAACGATGACAGTGGTGTGTCTGTGTCTGTCCCTCGTTGTGCTCAATCATGGCCAAATGCAGAGAATACATCTGCCTGGCATCTTTCCAGTGAGCCCTGAGAGTAAGCAACCATAGCACACAGCCAAGGAGAGCCAAGGCTCTGCAGACCTGGGCACCAGGAAGGGAAGAGATTCCACAATCCCAGCTGAAAGCAAATTCTGTTAGGAGGGGCCCAGGCCAGGGGTTGAAATCTGCAGGTCCCAACAGACCAGATTTGGTCACCTGCCACCTAGGAAATCTAACAATGAACTGAAGGCCAAGCAAGAAATAAATTTGTTCTCTGGACCAAATTGGAAAGAGAGCTAGTTTAGAAATGTGGCTTCCCATTTGGATACTTCCTGGATCATGCAGGGAAGGACAAAAGCAGGAAGTCAGGCCTTCATATGCACATGCATACACATACACATACACACACATACATGGACACACATACACACAGTCATTAGTTGGAAGGCAAGTTGCCAGTCCTCCCCATTTCCTAAGGTCTGCAGCTTTGCTGTCCATTTTACTATCACATTGCTGTAACTATGCATAGTATATTCCTAAATACTTGAGTTCACATTTTTTAATCATTAGTCTTTTGGATTCTGTTCTACTTTGCTTCGTTTCTGTGATAAAACATTCTGACCAGTACTAACTTGGGGAAGAAAGGGTTTATTTTGTCCTACATCTCCCAGGTCATAGTTCATCAGGGAGTCCAAGGTAGGAACTCAGGACAGGAACCTGGAGTCAGGAGCTGGAGCACAGGCCATGGAGGAATGCTGCTTACTGGCTTGCTCCCCTGGCCACTGCTCAGCCTGCTTTCTTATGCAACACAGGCCCACCTGCCCAGGGGTGGCACCACCCACAGTGGGCTGGGCCCTCCCACATCACTCAGTAATCAAGAAGATGCCCCACAGACTATGGCCACAGGCCAGTCCAATGGAGGCAATTCCCCAGTTGAGGCTCCCTCAACCCAGGTGTGTCAAGTTGACACTAAAGCTATCCAGCACAAATTCTGTTTGTTTGTTTCTGCAGAGCTGGGGATCAAACTCAAGGACTTGCACATGCTAGATATATATATGTTTTACCATTGATCCCCAGTCCTAGCTGGAAGAAATATCAGTCCTTTGAATAGGATTTATGTTCTTCATTATCTTTCTTGTGTAAATCTTGCCCACAGTATTTCATCAAAAACTTCTAAATTTGGATTACTTAAAGTGGTCTAGAGGGAGGGGGCTGGAGAGATGGCTCTGCAGTTAAGAACACTGACTACTCTTCCAGAGGACCCAGGTTCATTTCCCAACACCCACATGGCAGCTAAAAATGGTTCATAACTCCAGTTCCAGGAGATCTGATGTCCTCTTCTGGACCCTGAGGACATTTCACTCACAGGCACACTTACAAACATTCAGGCAAAATACTCATACACATAATAAAAATAAATAAGTAAAAAATTACAGTGGTCTAGAAAATTAAAGGCATTCCTGAAGAAATTTGAGTGCAAAATTCTTTAGCTTGATGATTTCTAAAATATACGTTTTTAAGATTTTTTAAATTTATAATTATGTGTGTGTGTGTGTTCATGCACACGTGACTGCAGGTACCCTCAGGAACCAGAAAAGGACAATGACTCCCCTAGAGCTGGAATTATAGGCAGTTGTGGGCCATCAGATGTGGATCCTGAGAACTGAACTCTGGCTCCTTGCACACTTAACCACTTGAGCCATCGCTCCACCTCCTCAAAAAAAAAAAAAAATTGTCTTGGCCAGATCTCATTTTGTTGCTCTCAAAAATATCAATTTTTCTTCTAAAACATCCGACTTAGTTTTCATAGATGAAGTTGTTTTCTCTAACACCAATATTTGATGTGAACTGCTGCTCTTTTAAGGAGCCACATTTGAATTAAGATCCTGTAGACTGATTGATTAGAACTTCGTAATTGTAGAGAGCTAGAATGTTGCAAATTCACAGTCAAAATGATTGTGGGCTATCTTTAGTCCTCTTAATCACCACTAATCAATAGCTTCCGTTTCTGATCTAACATTCTGTGACTACTGGATAAAATGTTGGGGCTTTACTACTTGGCAGATTACTAGCTGCCACCAGCACTTAAACCTAAGAACTTAGACTAGTGAAACCCACCTACCTGATATCCCCATCAAATGTTTGGTAAATGCATTGATTTATGACTTTCTTTTGTTCTGTAGCTATAAAAATTCACAAAATCTCTTCTGCAAAGGAACATGTCACTCATGGTAACCAGAATGTGTGTTCCTAGC